AAAAGAAAAGGTGGAGAGGCATTAGAGGGAGACGGAGGGGCAGAAGTTGCCATGTGACCTGTCTCTGTACTGGCCCTTCTGGCCCATTGTACAGTATTTTCTTCCTACTCTTCAGGCACAGCCTGGGAACCAGGAACAGCAGAACCAAAATGTTCTGGCGAAGTATATGAATGGAGCTCTGTCACCTACCAACAGATGCAGATTGCTGCACGAAAGAGGGAGAAGGCCCTTTCAAGAGACCATTGTGTTTCGTCTTGCTGGGATGGTCAGTTCCTCTTGGCTTTCCTGTTTGCTCAGTAGTTGTGAACACTGGGTTCAGAGGGGTCAGGCTCCTCATCTGCGTCATTATCCTGTTTAAACAGGGAGGGGCAGGCCTTTCCTGCCTGCTGTCTGCCATACTCTGCCTGTCAAGCTTGAGTGACTTGGACACGACATTTATCTTTCCACTTGGTTCAGCCACTTTCCATCCTTCCATCTGAAATCTTTAACCAGATATCTTGCTGAATTCTCTAGAAAAACAGTTTCAACTTCCCTGCAGAGAACCAGGAAATCAGAAGCCAGACTCCATTTCAACTTCACAGACATGGGAATGAGCGTGTATTTTGTTTCAGACACTGGGCTTAAATTCTAGAAATGCAAAAGGAATGAGACAGAATCCCTGGTCTGAACGAGTTTCATAGCCTTGACTGGGTCGATCCAAGCCATGCTGTAAGGAAAGGCAAACAACCAGATAGATTTTGGAGAGAGAATTCTTGTGGTTATAGAGGAGATAGGTTTTTAGTGGGAAGAGGTTAAATCCAAGAAAACCAGGTGGGAAGCAATTTCTATGCTGGGGAGGGGGCTACAAAAAGTGATCAGAGGACGAGTGGTAGTAGGAGGCCATGCAGAGCCTTCTGATGGGTTTCAAGTTGCAGAAAGACTCAGAAAACCTCAGGCCCCTGCCTGGAGTGGCTGCGTGCTGCATGCTGAGTTAACAGAGAGGTAAAGCCAGGCAGAAATGGTTTACAATGGTTAGTTACAGACCGTATGACTAAAGATCTAACTAAAGAGATCCTTGGTTAGATGCCCTTTAATTAGGCAACTGGGGAAGGCAGTGTGGATTTAGGTATTGTCTGTGTCCGGATGCTCTTGCAGAGATGAGATTTCGTGTAGAGAACAAGGGTGTAGAAAGGTGCAAAGAGAGATTCCCTGGGACATGATCTCAGAAGAGGTGGGGGGAAATGGTGGTGGAGAAAGGAGATGCAGCGTCAAGAGGGAGAACCAAGAAGAGGTATTGTGAATGCCAAAGGAAGAGATTTTAGAACACTTGGTGTGGGGGTCCACGCTAGATGGAGTTTACAACCCTTAATACCGATACCCAACCCTGAGTAGAGCAATGACTTTTATAGCATGTGTATTTGTCTTCACAAAACACTGTCCTAATTCTGAGCATGGAGGGAGAAGGCCTGGCTACTTATCCCAGTCCTCAGACCTCCTTGTCTGGTAAGTTGGCAATTCATTAACTTCTTGAGCCGCCCTTTTCTTATTGGTGAAGTTAAAGAGTTGGACTCTGTTTCAGGTTCCTTCCAGCGTGCAGGTCCTGTGCGCTACCCCAACCGCTGCCCCTCTAACTGCCAGTCTGGAGGCTCACCTCCAGGTGCGATAGAATTACATAGCTCTCTTATCTCTCCTTGATTTGTTTCTGTTTTGACCTTTCCCCCCCTGGAGATAAATATCCAAGGGTCTGCGAGGTTGACAAGGAGTAGATCTTGAATAGACAAACCGCCTCTCTGGGATGTTTCTAAGATAGTCAGATAATCAGCTTCTGCCTTGTGGCCTCAAGAGTCACACCTTTGCTCTAAGGGAGAACAACATCCCTCCTTTGCACCTTGGCGGAAGAATGAACTCTCCATCTGCCTGCTGAGGAGTTAGCGCAGTCTTGAATGACAGTAGCTGTGTTCCAGGTGAAGTGAATTTGTATTTCATCTTCTTACTGAGCTCTTGACCCAGCACCCACTATTTTCAAAAGTCAAGCTCCTTATTCATGATATTCCCTGGTAATATCCACAACCCCATCTTTATTATTAGTATTATTTTGTCTCCGAGAGTCTCTTGCATGCAACCTGTGGTTTCATTACTGTTGTTTGTAGGGATACACACGATAGCATCCTTAGTTCTTGACTGAGAAGCGAGAAGGGGCAAGAGGAGGCAGAGTCAGCGGGAAGCCTGGAGCCCAGAGGCCATCCAGCAAAGGAAATAAGATAAGAGCTCATCAGAGCCTGCTAAGTCCCTGGCAGAGTTGAAGCACTTCCTTTAAGTTAACTCACTTCAACCTCTCGCAAACTCACGAGACCGGCGCGAGACCGGCGCGAGAAGCCCAGGCCTTCTGTGTAGGAGGGCGGCTCAGTGTAGAAATTGCTTCTCCGTAGGCTGCACTACAGAGGTTAAGTAATGCCAAGGCTGAGATGGCCATCCACATGTGAACTGGTGTCTGGCTGGTGCCAGCGCAGGTCCTGCCATCCTCAGCCACATCAAGCTCTTTCTATGTACAGCTCTCTGGGCGGTGGCAACAGCTGCAGGGCAGTCATGGTGATGGGTCAGGGGAACTCACCTGCAGTGCTCACCTTAGCGCAGACCACAAGGCCCTGTGATCCTACCAGGAGCAGCTTCTGAGGCTCCTGGAGACACAGGAGTATGCAGCTTCCCCGGTGAGGCAGGTTACTGGGACGGAGACAAAGAGCCTCCAGCAGGACTCGCGGGGATTTCTATCTGCCTCTAATCAAGCCCAGTCCGGCGCTCTCCTCAGTGCCTGTGGTGTTCAGCAGAGTTGGAAGCGACCCAACTCCGAATGCCTCCCCTGATTTCTGCTGATTGGGCCTGTGGCCCTTTGCCTGTCCACTGTTTGCTGTTTCTTTTCTTCCCCCTCTCTGTAGCCAAGATAATTGCACAGCTATCAACCCTCGGCTCCCATACACCCGGCCCCGGCTCTGTGACTTCGGCTTTCATGTGGGGGCTTCCTTACCAGTCATTCTCAATTGTTGTGAATGGGCGCAGGAGAAAGGGACAGAGACCAGACTGGCCAGTGCCTTCCCGGCTCTCCACTCACAGTACAAGCTGGGTGCAAGTATTTCCCTGAGATCATTTTGGTACAAAGGACCGGAACTTTGTCCTCTGTAAATCTATGGCCTTTCTTTTAAATTACAGAACACCCAAAGATGGAAGAGGAGCAGGAAATTTTAGGATCATGACACATTCTGAAATGGCTCCACCAGCCAGGATAGGCTGTTAGCTTTGTATCTTTCTGAATGGGCACTTTTTCATTATTAGAGGGAACCCCGGCCTCCTAGAATACAACTACTAAGTAAAGCTTTCACCCAAAACGCAAACTCCTCAGTTTCCTTTTAGCTTCCCTTACAGTTCAGCTGCTGGGTGCAGAATTCCAGGATCTCATCCCCGCTGAGGATTTCAATCCTCTTCTGCAAGACCATCACACCGTAAGCTTCCCGGACCAACACTTGTGGCTCCATCGCTCCTCCTTATGTTAAGTAGTTGCCCGGATGGAAAGGATCCTGGCAAACAGTAGTGGAGGTGGACCTCTTCCCAATCCTGACCAGAGGGCAGATCCCGCACAGACCCAGCCACTCCATAGCAGGCAACAGCCCGCAGTGCTGGTCCTGTGGCTGAGGGCTGAGCACAGAGGCGACAATTAATGCATGTCTATTTAAAGAAATGAAAACCATGAGGCTGAAAGAGCAAGCCCACGTTTCAAGAGAAGAAAACAGGGGCCAAATTCCAAACAAAAACAGCCCCAAATTCCACAAATACGTTATGGTGTGCAATAAAGTCACAAGCATGCGCCAGCCAATCAGCAGTTCTTTCTTCCATAGATGACCCCACCGCAATGACATTAAGTGCATCCAAACATTTTAACGAAGCACTAGAGAGATTGCTTTTCATTTTCCGAGTGCCTGCGATGAATTTACAACATTGCCTGACTTCTCCGCGCACTGGGAAGGGTGCAGGAGTGTGGTAATGGCAGCCCGCGTGCTGGGAAACGTTCCTAACGCCAAGAAATGAAATCTGCAGAGCCTTTGAAAGCCTTCCAGGAATGTCAGCACGTACTGCCTGCCCACTCCGCTGAATGCCTACTTTGGCTGTCTGCTTAGTACTGAATGTGCCAGACAGGCCTTCATACAAAGAGGGAGAGTGTTTTGGGGCCATGAAAGGGGGAGGTAGAGTCTTTCAGATGTGAATGGTGAGATTCAAAAAGTAGCTGATAAAGGGGCAGCTGAGGAAGGGTCCTCAGGAGAAGTAGGAGTAAGAGACCAAATGAGAGAGAGTTAGCATCCACCTCTGGCTCCCCAGTGTCAAATCTGGAGACACTGACCTCTGGTACACTGCGTCCACACCGTCATCACGCCATGTCTGTACGCCTTGCTTATCGATTCCACCATATCCAAAGGCCTCTTGACTACCTGAAAATAAGATTCTTTAAGCCCTGCCAAGGCACATATAAGTCTACTTTTGTTTGCATTTCGACACTGAATATAAATGCCATTTATAATGTGTTATTTGGAATTTTCTTTGAGTCTTTTCACCTCCGTGTATGGAAAAAAAAAAAATGAGAAATGTCCGTTGTGGTGCATCTGAATAGCTTCAAATATTTTTTCCCCTTAAGCTCACTTTTAAAAAGGAAGAAAACTGTTTTGTGTAGTGAACCATTCGCTAACTCTTTAGCAGCTACTCATAATTCCTTGGCACAGTGTCAACAACCAGAGGAAAGAACTCTTCTGGTGTTTTGAGGTTTTCTGAGGAGGCAGTCTGATGTCATTGGTGGCAGACGCAGTATGTATGTATCTGTCTTTTGTCTGCGCCATCTGTTTTTCTCCTTATAGGCTATTGTTCAGATTTCTCTTCACTTTTTCCAGGAAGTGTTCCTCTCCCTGAGAGCTTGGGCCCTAGGTGTTAAAGGGACTGAGCTGATATTCTAACATCGTTTCCTTCTGTTCTTTCCTTCCTAGAATCTTATGGCAAGGGCCTTATATGACAATGTTCCCGAATGTGCCGAGGAGCTGGCCTTTCGCAAGGGAGACATCCTGACTGTCATTGAGCAGAATACTGGGGGGCTAGAAGGATGGTGGCTGTGCTCCCTACACGGTCGGCAAGGCATTGTCCCTGGCAACCGGGTGAAGCTTCTGATTGGCCCCGTGCAGGAGACCCCCTCCAATCATGAACAGCCTATTTCTGGACCCATGCACCAGACCTTTGGCCAACAGATGCTCTACCAAGTGCCAAACTCACAGGCAGCATCTCGAGACACCGTCTACCAAGTGCCACCCTCCTACCAGAATCAGGGAATTTACCAAGTACCCACTGGCCATGCTGCCCAAGAACAAGATGTGTATCAAGTGCCACCATCACAGAGAAGCACCGGAGGCACCAATGGTCCCCACTTAAGTAAAAAGGTAAGTGATTAACTGGAATTCTGTTCCTGCTTATTTTTCTCTATTACATTCGGAACAATAGAAATGTTCCCAGAACAGTACTGTACACTGCCAAAATGTAAATATACCAAATGTCCTAAGTCAGGCATATTTTTCTATCATTTTGCCCTTCATCAATCAAAAACTTTCTTGAACTACCGTATGCCAAGTCCTATTTATCCATAGTTAATGTTCCTGTGTCATTCTGGATCATACTGGTTCATAAAATTATTTCTGTCCCTTTTTCTGATACATGTGTTTCAAGACCTGAATTCTGTGCTTAAATAGCTTCCAGTCATTTCTCTTTTCTTCCTGAAGTGATTCAAGGCACCCAATCTTCTATAAGCAACAAGGATCCCCATTGGCCAAAGGCTAGATCATGACCCCACTGGCAAAGCCGGACAAAGAACCTACCAAAAGTAGAGGGAGACAAAAACATGCCCATAAACTCATTCCTTAAGATTGTAAGGTTAAAGTTTAACTCACCTAAAACACATATAGTAAGGGATTTGGAAAGGATCCATGTGCTTGAAATAATTCTTATAATAACACCCCAAGCAGAGGGTGAAAACAGTGGTGTTTGGATATTTAGGAAGACTACAAATTTTTTAAAACAAAAGCAAGAAAAGCGTGGTGTATTAGTCAGCTTTTCATCACTATAACCAAATACCCAAGGCAGTTAACTTTATAAAGAGAAAAGGTTTATTAAATTCAAGAATTTTCACTATTCATGGGCATGGAACTGGCATTGGCTCAGTTTTGATAAAGGCTCTCCCAGCTTCAAGTCACATCACAATAGAGATGCATGTGTGTAAAAGAGCTTGTATCACCAGACAGGAAGTCAGAGAGAGAGAGGATGGGACCCACAGTCCTTTCTGAGGACATGGCCCCCAGTGACCTGGCACCACCCACCAGGCCCCACTCCCCATAGCACCACCCTGGAATCCAAGCCTTTAATCACACTAGGCCCTTAGAAGACACACGGACCACACCCAAACTATAGCAGGTGGGGTGTTCATCCATAGTCTTCATAACCCCCAATACTTAACAGTTTATGATAAATACAAGTATGTGACATGATGCATGTTGAACATCTAGTACATTTTTGTTGCTAGTGATACAGTGATGAATTAAACAGTAAAGTGAGCCCTCACAATGCTTATATTAAAATAGTGTCAGGTGGATACCCATGCAGTGAAGAAAATAATGCCAGTGGGTTTATGGGGACAGTATCCAAAACCAAGATTGTGCACATTACAAAGGAGGTTTTATTCTTTAATTTGCTAGCAAGCTCCAGTGGGTCCTTCTAAGTTTGATATTAAGAATGGCCTAATTTAATAGAACAAGAAATTAGCTCCAAATTATTACAAGAAGGATGGAGTTTGATACCATTAAAAGCTTGCTGGCTCTCAGAACACTACATGTAGATGTGCCTTGCCTCAAGTAAATCTAATACAAAGTCTGAATGTACAAGCCCATGTAAATTAGGCAATATCTTCTTCCATGATACTAGAATGTACTGTTAGGAAAAAAAGGTAGGAATTTATTGTTGAATTCCTTTCAATAACAAAACCATGAATACATTTTCTAATTACTTTTATACAAAAAATATATTTAAACAAAACACTTCTCAAGGGCACATAACCTGAGTATGTCCACGAGGAAGAATTCTTTAGGAACTGGTGAATAGCTTTCCAACCTGTATTTCCATGGTCAGAGGCAATAGACTTGAGACTTGACCTTTCAAAGTCCTTCCTACCCCAGGGATTTCAGATGCCGAGGGAAAGCCAAACCTGACCCGCACCTCCAGAGGGGAGAACAGTGGCAAGGTGTAACTATAAAAAAGTAACTTCCCTCATTCTTAGTCTCGGTTGCTTGCACCTTAAAAATAGCTCTCCCTGCCCGGGCTGAGCTGGTATGAGGCAGACGGGGGAGGCCAGAACAGGAAATGCTTGGCTGAAAGGTGGTGGGCCCAAACTTTCGTCACAGTTTATTTTGGCAGGAAGGTGGCATGTTTTCCTTTTTAGACTCAACCTTTTCAGATCCAAGTCCGAGAAGTCTTGAAACTTCAGACTTCTTCCCCCGTGCTGTAACCATGCTGCGGAATTTCTCCTGCGCTCTCAGAGTCCAAGGGCAGAGACTTTGACCCGCCGTCCCTGTGGTTGATGTCCGAGGACTGGGCTGCTGGGGTGACTCTCAGGGACTCACACTCTCTGTGCCTATGCTCAACAGAACATTTTAGGTGTAACAAAAGGCAGGCCAGTGCCAGTGCCACCCAACTTCCAGAGCGGACTGTGCCACCCTGCAGGAGACACCAGCAGAGTAGAAGCACAAGGGATGCCTGGGGCAGGAGCTTGGGGCAGCTAAGTTCTTGGGTAGCATCGAGGCCGTGAGCAGGGGCAGAAGAGCTGGTCGCGGCTCCTTCCCTGCCAAATGCAAGAGCTCTCCAAGATACTCTGAATTCCCCTGGAAAATATCTAAGAGTTCCTGGGTCCCTAAGACACATAAGCTCCACCCTTTTTCCCCTGGACCACAAGGGTCACACTCCCACTCCCTCCTTTTTCTTTTTCTTCTTCCTCCTCCTCCTTCTTCTTTTCCTTCTTCTTCCTTTTCCATTTCTCTTCCTTCCTCTCCTCCTTTCCCTCTTTCCTTCCTGCCTTCACTTCCTCCTTCCATCCTTTCTTTGCCCCTCATCCCCTCCTTCCCTCTATCTCTCCCTCCTTCCTTGCTCCATACTTCTTTTCTTCCTTTCTTTCCTAGTAGAAATGATTTAGCTGCAAGCAGTGATTTTAACCTTTCTGCTATCAGTAACTGCTAAAAACTCCTGCTTCGCCCTTGCATAACGTCTTCTCAGGGGCTGGGACGGTCCAGATGCCTGAAGCCAAGACCCTGAGAGATCCTCTCAGTGCAGTGTTACATACGGTGTTGTTTTTGTTTTGCTTTGCTTTATTTTTCAGTTCACTTTTAGCAGTTTTACTGAGCTAGCAAATAAAGCAGTTTGCTTCTTTTCTCTTTCAATTAATTTTCTTTTCTCACTTGCTCATGTTCTGGTCTAATTTCTCATCTGTAAAATGGTGGTGAACCTGGAACTAGATGTTCCTGGTGGTTTAAGCTACTGTCCTCAAAAGCTATTCAGCAACAAAATGAAGAGGCAAGGGACCTTGTTCTGAATCACTCAAGTGTAGGTTTAGAATTTTAATGAACACGAGTCACCCAGAGAGGTAGAGAAGGTGAGTTCAGCATGGACCCGAGGCCCTTCCCTCAGATTCTCCTGCAGTAGGTCTGGGTGGAGGACAGGAGTCTGCTTTTTATTGGGCTCCTAGTGTGATTCAGTGGGAGGTGACCCAGGATTACACTGAGAAATACTATAAAGGACCATGAGGTTCACTTGGAAATGTTCCAATCTGATTGTGCTTCGGGACTTTCCGTAGTTTAAAATTCCCTCCGTGTTGCTGCAGACTTGGGCTTCTGAAGTTTTATTCACTGCAGTTTTTTGTTTTTCTTTTTTTCTACCAATGAATCATTTAAGTAAAAAAAAGAAAAAGAAAAAGTCAGTGAATTCTGTTGAGTGTCATTTCAGCTTTGCTTTCTGGGAAACTCCAACCTCCACCCACTGCCGCTCTTGCTCTCCCACTGACACTGACACACCACTTCCGAAGTCAGCACCGCGCTCACATCACCCCCTCCAAGAAGGAGGGAGACAGCCTGCTCTTGAGACAGCCTGGGCCCCGGGCTTTGCCCAGCTCTTGGCTCTGGGTCTCCATAGCTGCATAGCTTTTGGCGAGTTACTGCCTCTCTCCCCTTTGTAAAAAGGAGGTAACCGTGTTCCCTGCCAAGGGAGAATTAAATGCAATAATATATAGAAAACACCTGCCACTGTGCCTAGAGGAGTAGAGGCTTCCAACCTGAGCTGCCCTCCCTCATCGCACCTTCCTTCCTCAGGGCTTATTCTGATCTGCCTCAGCCTTTCTGTGCCTCTTACTTTACTCCGAACATGCACGTACTGTTCTGCTGCCAGCACTGTGCTTTGCCCCTGAGCCTGTACCTCTGTCTTTGCTCTGTAGGAATTCAGTGGAGGGTGGAAAAGATCACTTTGAGTTATCTGGAAACTATACCCAATGACACCTTTATTTAGTTTCATTCGTCTCTTTCACTCTGGGTTTTCTGAGCAGGGCCATTTCTCTATTAGGCACTGTAGGCAGAATGCCCAGGGCTGGTGAGAATGTTTGAGAGTTGAATTTTAAAAATATAAAATAAAAGGGGCCTGTGGCTGGGGATTTAGCTCAGCGGCATAGCACCTGCCTGGCAAGCACAAGTTTGTGAGTTCAATTCCTGGTACCGGAAAAAAAAACAAAAAAAAACTTCTGGTTCCAAAATATGAAATGCAAAAACTGCAAATTAGGAATTAATAAACATTTAGACAAATGTCTAGGAAACAACATCACATCAACCTCATTATTTGTGATATTTAGGGCTTATTCCATTACATTTGAAAACAATTTATGAGTTAGATTTTTCTCACTTTGAAGAGATTTCTAAGTATGCGTCTTGATGGCCAAGAACTCACAAGCAATTCTAAATTAAATGAGTTACAGTCAAATCATTTGAAAAGCTGTATTATAAAAAATAAAAAGGCTGTCAATGTGTTAAAAGCAAAAAATTCTACTCAAGATGGGATTTGGTTCAGAATGCAGCCTCCAAATGCCCAAAAGTGAAAGGTTAAAAAAAGCCTCATTTTTCAACTTTAAAGACCCTTGAAATAGCAGTCTGAGTGTGCAGTCTTTTTACTCAATCTACTCAGAGAATTATGTGTTTCTCTCACGTTCTTTGGGCCTGATGGCTTTTTTTTTTTCTTTTGAGACAGGGTCTTGCTGTGCAGTTCAGGCTGGCCTTGAACTCATTATGTAGCCCAGGCTGGTCTCAGACTCACAGCGATCCTCCTGCCTCAGTCTCCCGTGCTGAGCTTGACAGGCATGTGCCAC